ATAGACTGGGTGTGTATGTTAGCAGTCTAGCCACAGGTGGAGACTGTCCTCTCTAGGTCCCATGTCAAAATTCCCGGAAGAGAGACTCCGAGTAGCCCAACACAGATCAAGTAACCATCTCTGGTCCAAAGAGCTGTGACCAGTGTTGGGATCATACAGCACAGACATGGATGCTGGGCCCTGTCCTTCTGTGGGAGGGGAAGGAGTCCATTTCCAGAGAATGGAAAAGTCATTGGTTCCTTGGCTAGGTGGACACCTTTGAAAGATACCCACTATATTATTGTTGTGTGCCATTGAGTCGATTCCAACTCATAGTGACCCTACAGGACAGAGTAGAGTTGCCCCATAGGGTTTCCTAGGCTGTAACCTTTGTGGAAGCGTATCACCAGGTCTTTCTCTCACAGAGCAGCTGGTTGGTTTGAACCACTGACCTTTTGGGTTAGCAGCTGAGCATGTAACCATTGTGCCACCATACCCTTACAGCCTGCTGTGTGCTAGGCACTACTTAGTGTGCTGGGGTCCAGCAGTGACTAAGTCTGTGACCTAATGGCCTTGGCTGTCAGCTGTCTTGTCTGCATTTTCACATCAGAGCGGGCAGATCTATGCTTGTCAGTTTGCCTGTTTTTGCTTCTCTTTATTCTCTCCTTTCACTTTGGTTTCTTTCTCGACTAACAGATATTTATTGAACTCCCACTATCTGCTGACACTGTGCTGGGTTTCATGGGGAGTTGTAAGCATACACTCTCATTTTGTGTAGTGGTATTTGCAAAATGCATTAACTCGGGATTTGTCTCATGAGTCTGAAATTGAAGCCTTAGTCGTAATGTGTTATATATGGTAGAGTGATTTCCCTAGGCAATCCATTTTCAGCAAATGTTTGTTATTTGGAAAATACTATCTATATATTTTCTCCCAAGCAGTGTTATGTTAAGATTAGGTCACTGAAGTAGGAGGAAGTTATTTGAGTCTTGGAAGAAACTGTAACTATTTGGACTTAGAAGAAAGTTTCCAGGTCTGATCCTGTTGTATGGAAAGATGAGCTGGTCTGATGAAGGCCAAGTTCTTGACTGAATTAAGTGAAATAGCATCTGTCATCACTACTTGTTTGTGTCAATTATATTTTTGCTCCAGTGTTTGTTATCTAACATTTAAATTCTTGTTTGGAAAACTTCTTTTCCTTCACTTGTATCAGTGATACTTTCTTTTTGATCTCAGTCTCCTCGTCTTCCAACTCCAGTTACCTAGCCATTCCTAGCCTGCCCATTCAATCTGGAAAAAGTCTTGCAGAGTTTCCTTTTGAGATATTTCTTACGTTCGTGCTTTTCTCCATTCTCCACTGAATTCATGCTTTTCCACCCCACTTCTAGGTTGTAGAATTAATATCCTCCCTGGTCTGCTTATCTCCAGATCCTTCCCTCTTTATGTTCCTACTTGGACATCACTGCTGGACGCACTTCTCTCTTGCCTGGATACCTTCTGTGGTCCCTGTGACCTTCAGGATGAAGGGCAAGTTTCTTTGCCTGGCCTTGAAGTCATCCACTGTCTGGCCACAGGCTATTTTTTCAAAGCTTATTTTCTACTCTTCCCCAACTTGGACCCTCACTTCCATTTTTTTTTTTTTTTTAAATTTGGCCCATGATACAATTTTGTCTGCTTGGAACTTTGCTTAAGTTCTCGCCCTTACCTAGAATGTATTTCCCTTTCTTAAAACAAACCTTAGCCGTTCTTTTAAAGATCTTATGTCTATTCTCACAGTTTGTTCTGACCATGTCCCACGCCAAGTACAGAGAGGCTGCTGGCCTCTGACCTGCCTTAGCATCTTCAGGCCTTTCTTTATCACTTAGTCATAATTGTCACGCACTGGTATATAACCATGGTTGTACCTTAGCCCCTTAAACTAGGTAACATTTTTGAAGGTAGTTGCTATATCTTTTATTTTTGTCTTCCCAGTAGCATCTCAACTCTGGCTGCCCATTAGTATCACTTCTTGTTGTTGAGCTGCCACTGAGTCTGCTTCCAGCTTATGGCTACCCCACGCACAGTGGAACGAAATGCTGCCTGGTCCTAAGCCATCTCCACGATTGGTTACATATGAGACCACTGTGATCCACAGGGTTTGTACTGGCTGGTTTTTGGACGTAGATCATCAAGTCTTTCTTCCTAGTCCATCTTAGTCAGAAGCTCTGCTGACACCTGTTCAGCATCATAGCAACACACAAACCTCCACTGACAGATGGGTAGTGTCAGCGTCTGAGGTGCACTGGCCGGAAATTGAAGCTGGGGCTCCCACATGGATGGTGAGAATTCTGCCGCTGAACCACCACTGCCTTAAGGAGCCTTAAAGAAAAGAAAAGAAAAATAAGTGAGAATCTGTGAGGATGGCGCTGGGGGTGAAATCTCCCTTGGTGGTGATAATGCACAGCCAGAGTTGAGAACTACTCGTTGAACACGATACAAGCAAGAAGATATTTTAGACTGCACTAGTGTGTGTCGTCTGAGCCCTTCGTGCATATCATTGTCTTTCTACTGAGAGAATTCAAAGGGACCTTTTATAAGACTTAAGTAAAAATGATGAGTTCAACCAGCGAATATGAGTGCCAGTGACATGCCAGGCACTGTCCCACAGGCTGAGGTCACTACAGGGAGCAGGGAGCCCTACTATCCTGGACCTTGGGTGCAGGAAGACAGAGAATAAACAATTACTGCCAGATAAGGATGGTAAATGCTGCGGAGAAAGGCAAAGCCAGGTAAGAGGGCAGAGAGGAAAGCAGTTCAGTTATCTATGCTCCTTTAAAACATATTTTTTCTCTGCCTTAAATCAGTATATGCTTTTAAATCCAGTCCTATCTAAAGGAAGTCAGGGCGCCTGAGCTTGCTGGCTAGCAAGTCTTGTAGTAGAGTTTCTTGTTCTCTACTGCGTCTTGTCGATAAAGAGAGGACAGAGCTTAATTGGCCTAATAACCATGTTTAGTTCTTCTGTTCTACCTTCTAGTTCGTTGCGTAGTGCCTGGGTCTTAAAAACTTGCAAGCGGCCACCCAAGGCACAACAATTGGTCTCTATTCACCTGGAGCAATACAGGGGAAGAAGGAGAGTGAGGAATAGGAGGAGGAGGATATGGAATGTGTGGCTAATTGCCTCCACGAACAACTGTCTCTTTTGCCATGAGACCAGAAGAACTGGACAGTGCCTGGCTACCACTACTGAATATTTTCATCAAAGATTCCATAGAAGAGTCCAGATCAAAATGGGAAAATGCAGAGCAGAATTTCAAATTCTCAGGGACGCCAGACTTTCTGGAACCAAGGAGGGCAGATGAACCCGAAACTATTGCCCTGTGATAATCTTTAAAACTTAAAAATAACTCCTGAAGTCTTCTTAAAAGCAAACAATAGTTGAGCTTAATTAGTAAAAAATATCTACCTTGAGCATTATGCTCTTTTAAGAGCTGTCTGTATGGGATCACATTGACAAGAGCAACTCGAAAGATTAGATGGGAACATTAGGGAGCGGTGAGTTTATGTTAATGGGGAGGAGCAACTCAGAAAAGGAGGGTGAGAATGGTTACACAACTCGAAGAATGGAATCAATGTCACTGAATTGTACATGTAGAAACTGTTGAATGGGTGTATATTTTGCTGTGCATATTCTCAACAACAACAAAATAAATACAATTTAAAAAAAAAGAGACAGAGTAGTGTCCTGTGGAGCAGTAGGGACCCAAGAGAGCTGGAGGCTGGAGGGAAGGAGGGGAGGGCAGGGACCTGGCCATGGGCTCCTGTGCCTGTACCCCTCTGGTTGTCCCCAACCTGAGTGAGGGGCGATGCCTTAGCTCATGGAGACTTCATCCTTACCTCCTATTCAGGCTGGCTTGTCAGCTCTCAAGCACTAATTTCAGTTTTGGTTGTCCGCCGCTTAGGATAAGGATTATGAGCTTTACCATCACTTTAAAAAGATGGCATGCTTACACAGCCACAATTTCTTCCTTCAAAATGTTTCTCTGTGTCAGCGAGCAGTGTTTCTCTTGGCAGCTAGGAGAATCCATTTCTTAAAATCATATGCCACAGGGCTTGCATTTCTCGAATGGGTGGAAAAAAGCATAACTTGTATTGGAGCAAATGTATATTTAAGGAAAACAAGGTAAGTTTCATCTGTAGGACATTTAATTTTCTGTGATCCTTTACCTCAGAAGCCCCTCCGCAAGGTCAGTTCTCAAGGTGGGTGTCCCTCATCTGATGAGGAATGCTGCCTTGTAGCTGGTGACGTGGTTCCGCTCCCCTGAACGCCTCTCTCTCTCTGTGTGTGTCTAACAGTTTCCGTATTGGGTATATTATTCTCCATGATGAGACCTCCATAAGCAAAGGTTATAGGGAGGTTTAGCTCACCGAGAGAGGTTTGTGTGGTAACCGCGCTAACTTCAGCAATGACACGAAAGAGCATGCATTGACCATAAACTGGGATTGCACTTCAGGTTGCCAGGCACATGCAGGGAAGAAAAAACAGACGGTCTGTTTAAGCTTCGGCATTGTCGTTTTAGAGCGTTATTCCTGAAGCCAAGCACGAGATGTGCGCCCAGCATCCCTTTCCGCGGTGCGTGAACCAGGGTGCATCCCCGCCACTATCATCGCTCTGCTCCTGAACACCATCTAGGAAGCCGAGCGGATCTGCCTTCCGAGCGCGGTCCCTCCGCCCTTCTCCCTGCCGGAGCGCCCCTTCTGCCCCCCGCCCGCCCCGCGCGCGCGCGCAGCCTCGCAGGTGCGGAGCGGCGGCAGGCTCGAGGGCGCGAGGGGAGGCGCCCGGGGCGGGGCGGGGCGGGGCGGGGCCGGGCCGCTTGCTGCCACCGCGTCTCCGAGGAGCAAAGGTACAGAGGCGGGACCGTGCGGGCGCCCGAGCGTCCTTCCCAGCGGGGCTCCACCCGCAGACCGCGCCGCTGCCTCTAGCCTGGCGGCTGACTTCTTTTGTGTGTTGTTTTCTGCCCCGCGCCTGGTCTCTGCAGGACCTGTCTGTTCTTCTTCGGGCTACAAGAAGGCAGATGATGAGATGTCCCGGGCCACGTCTGCTGCAGATCAGCTGGAGGCACCAGCCCGCACCATTTACCTCAACCAAGCGCATCTCAACAAATTCCGTGACAACCGGATCAGGTAGGGGAAAGCGGCGAAGAGACGGCGGAAGCAGGGGATTCACTGTTGGGATGGTGCTGCGCTTCCAGTTGTCATCTTCCCGTATATCTATCCAGCCCCCGCCCCTCTCGGCATCCTCCATCCCCTCCTTTCCCCTCCCCCTCCTTTTAGAGCTTTCCAGTCTCTCCTCAGCTTTGAATGGGGTCAAGTGAATACAGCCTTCACCTTTCTTTCCCTTTCATCTGGTCAGTGCCCAGCCTGTCCCCTAGCCCCTGTGCTCACTGACAAAAGTCAGGTCTCTATCTTTTCATCCCTTGGCTCACTGCCAGGAATTCCCTTTAGTCTGTTTTAAGCCCAGATTAATAACATTCCTTAGCAATTTGCAGAATGTAATGTAGGGAAGTGCTTTATACCAGAATCCCACAGATAAAAAGAACTCCCCATTCAGTTCTGAATGGACCAGGACATTTGTTAAGAGGTCTTTATTTGCTGGGAAACTTTGCCTCTGTAGAAACAGAGTTAGCAGAAAGATGGATGGGAGTGAACATTGAAGTGTCTACTTTTTGCTGGCCACTATGCCGGATGCTTGGGCTCTACTAGCTTAATGAATTTTCATAAGCCCATGGAGAAAGCATTATTGTCTCCAGCTCAGGAAAAGGAGGTACAAAGATGTTGAAGAATGTGCCTATTAGCTATAAATGGCTGAGACAGAAGTGGAACCCAGGCCAGTCTGACTGTTGTATTAAGCCCAAATTCTCTGCCATGCAACACTAGCTCTTTAGGTGTTGGTATTAGCACGTTTTCAAATTTCATTAAACTTTCAGGCTTGGACAGCTTTCTGTCTGGGAGTGTCTTCAGATACTGTAGTGCCGGGAGCTGTACAGAGCACTGCTGAGGTGCAGAGCGGTTAATGGTTGATCACGTTACACACTGGTTATTGGTTATTGGCAAACCTGGATTCCAGTACCGAGCTCTGTCTTGGAAGCTCTGGCTAATACTTTGTAGTTGTTATATATTTCAGTATTCCACTATAGCATTAGCATTTGTGCATGCTGCTGAGCCTGGCATCTTTGTTTAGAAAGGGCTTCGACTGTTGTATTGCAGTTTGATAGAGTTTAGGGTAGAACGATAGCGTGTATTATGGAGGTGATACCTCCATTTATTCAGGGAGTGTTAGATTACCCTAGCTTTATTTTGAGTTTTAAGAATAACCATTTGGGCATATTTTTTACTTAAAAGTATAACTTATAAGGATAGCTGGGGCCATTCGAGAGGGAGTGACCTTGTTTTAAGATATTCATCACCCACAATGAATTACCAGTTCACACTGACCAGGATGGCTCTGATCAAAAGACAAGTGGTGGTGAGAGTGTGGAGAATCAGAACCCTCATACGCTGTTGGTGGGAATGGAAGACGGTCCAGCTGCTGTGGAAACAGCCTGGCGGTTACTCAAAAGGTTAAACACAGAGTTACCATATGACCCAGCAATTCCACTCCTAGATATATACCCGAGAGAAGTCGAAAGATGTGTCCACCCAAAAACAAATGCTTATACCAGCGTTATTCATAATAGTAAAAAAGTGGAAACAACCCAGATGTCCACCAAGTGAATGGATAAATGAAATGTGATATATCGATGCAAGGGAATATTGTTTGGCCATTAAAAGTAGTGAAGTCCTGGTACATGCTACAACATGGATGATCCTTGAAAACATTACAATAAGTGAAAGAAGACAGATATGAAAGACCACATGTATTATGATTCCATTTATATGAAATGTCCAGAAGAGGCAAATCTATTGAGACAGAAAGTAGATTAGTGATTGTGGACGGGTGGGCAGGGGCGGGGGGGATGGGGAGTGATGGTTAATGTAGATTAGGTATCTTTTTAGGGTGATGAAAAATGTTCTAGAATTGATTGTGGTAGTGGTTGCACAACTCTGTGAATATACTAAAAACTACTGAATTGTACACTTTAAATGAATGAATTGTGTGATATGTGAATTGTATCTCGATCAAGCTGTTATTTAAAAAAGATACAGAGCATCTCTGGAGTCCTGCATTGCTAATACAGTTCCATTATCCATGCCTGCTCATATGTGTTTCTGTTGAATTACTTTAAAGAAGGTAAACATTATTTTTAGAAAAATAATGCTGTATAAGGTAACAGGAATTGAAGAGTTACTTTTCTTTGTAAACTTTAGTATGTTTGCAAGTAGTATTTTTGCTTAATTCCTGTTAGTTTCTATCATTTTGGTACCACTCAGGCATGCTTAAAGCCTGAAGAATGAACCAGGGGTCTTTTGTTTTCCCTAAATTCTCCAGTTTCTGCATAAGGTACAGACTTTTAAGAGCCATGGTAATGGGGCCTCACTATTTATTCCGTACTCATGACTCAGACTTGACTTTCGAGGCTGATTGTATTATCTGTAAGATGGATTTCAAGTGGCTATTTGTCATAGACTTTCATTTGTACTTTTCTTGGGGAGTAGGGATGCACAGTGGATTGGCTAGGAATGAAGCCGGCAGATACCAACTATGCCCTCTGTTTCAAAGTTTGTGTAAGTGTATTGGAGCCCCGGTGGTGCAGTGGTTAAGTGCTCGGCTGCTGAACAAAAGCTCAGCGGTACGAACCGATCAGCCGCATTGCAGGAGAAAGATGTGGCAGTCTGCTTCTGTAAAGATTACAGCCTTGGAAACCATATGGGTCAGCTCTGCTCTGTCCTATAGAGTCTCTATGAGTTGGAATCAACTCCACGGCAGTAGGTTGTTTTTTTTTATGTAAGTATGTTACCAACGATCATGAAGACGGCCCAGGACTAGGCAACTATTAAAAATACAACAGTTCTGTTATACATAGGGTCGCCATGATTCAGAACCAACTTGACCACAACAAGCAACAACATAAGTGTATCCTGGTCATTTAATTAGTGAATCATATTAGATATTAAAATTTGTACAGTTTCTGAGTTCACGTCTTATACAGTGAGCATGTTTCGGAATACGGTGGATACGGTCTAAGAAATTAAAATGTGACCCTTGATGTACTATAAAATGGCTTTGTGCATAGTTGGTTTACCTTGACCATGTTCTTAACAGGAATTACTAATGGTTATCAGTGACTTATAGTTCATTAAATAATTTATTATAAAACTTATTAGGATTATAATTTAAGGATTTTACAAAATGTTGAGCACTTTATTTTAGTATTTTAATGTTGCTGAAGTCAAGTTTTAGAAAAAAGATATTTTATAAGGCTTTTTAATCTTGGCCATGAATATTTGCAAAAACTTGATAAGGATAGTCAAAGGAATATTTTTTAAAGAGCGAGTTGATAGCGGATTTGTTGTTTTCACGTCATTTTTCTTGAGAAAAGGTTAATGGTTTATTTTAGGGGAAGGGGCATGGGGTATGTATCCCAGATTTTTGCTTCTAAATGGAGGTTTCTGGAAAGGAGGGACCACGTGGGGGCAGTGAGGCTCATGCTAAGTTATGGACTCAGTCATGTCTGGCTTTGTTGAAGGCTGTCTACCTCAGGAGGCTGGGCATCTCTAGAGCAGTGTTCTTTGACTTAACTTTCCCCATCCCAAACCCTGTCTGGCTTGGACCTTGTGGATAGTGGCAGTTGTGACTGGCTTTTGTGGACATCTGACGTTTTTGACTTCAGGGATCTGAGCTTGATGCTGAGGGAGGTGGTTGTTGGGATGGTGGGAGGTCCACGAGGGGGACATGCTTCCATTCAGCACAGGAAATTGATTGGACTAGGATCCCTGGTAGTGCGGTCGTTAAGAGCTCGGCTGCTAACCAAAAGGTCAGCAGTTTGAATCCGCCACCCACTCCTTGGAAACCCTAAGGGGCAGTTCTGCTGTGTCCTATAGAGTCGCTAAGAGTCAAAATTGACTCAACAGCAATGGGTTTTAGTGTGATACATGAAAGAGGCTGGGCCTGGGTGAAGGCCGGGAGCAGTAGTGAGGTTGCCCTCTGGGTGGATGGGGCCTTGGCACTCCCTGGAAAATGTGATACATGGTGACTTCAAATTCGGAGCAATTACTGGGATTTCCGGTTGGTTCTGTGCCATGCAAATAGATGTGTCTCCAAACCTTGTTCTTGTTCTTTACACTTTAGATAATACCAGTGTTTGATCTAAATAAAGCCTGTGGTAGGTTTATTGAAGTTTTCCATTATTGAAGCCAATGAATTCAGATCATTGTAATTGTGGAGAATTGTGAAGTAATCTTTTTTCTCTTAGGCATTGATTTTCTAAAGTCTTCACTGTGAAGAAAATTAGCTTCGTCATCTTCTAGAAATGAATGATAATTAATGGAATATTGCAGAATACGTATACCTACATAGGATTGTGTGTATGTCCACTCAACAGATGCTTTTTTTCAGAAGTATACAATCCTATCTCCTTTTACATGCTTTCAGTTAAATATGAAATGCTTACAAAGAATTTGTTATTTTGAAGAACCTGGTGGTGAATTGAAAATTTTGTATATCTGCATTTTCAAAAAATTTTAAAGTTAAAAAAAAACTTTTTCCCCCAGAAAATATCTTGAAATAATTTGGTGATCAAAGGAATGGGCAATATTTATATAATCAAAATCAAGCACATGCCGTCTTCCTATGTGATTATCAGCTTGCGGTATGAAATAGTGAGTTTCAAAACTGTAAGGCAGTTCTCGTCATTGTTTGAGATGAAGTCTTCAGAGCAAGTTAGGAATGTTTTCAGATACTCAGTTTTCAATGACTCATTCATTTCAGGTGGGAGTTTGGGCTAGCAAAAATCTCCATTAAAGCAATAGTTGAGCTTTGTCAAGTTACTGCATTTCTTCAGGTTGGTTTGTCATAAAGGAAAATTGCTTTATATAAATATTTTGTTAGCTTTGCCAAGATAAATGTAAAATATAATATTGCCTTTACAGAAAAGGGAATTGGACACTGTGCTAGATTTTACAGGATCACAGTTTTATAATATGCTGGGATCCTAATTTCTGAGAAGGATAATTTGTTATAAGGA